AGTTTGAGACGCCTGGGCTACATAGTGAGTTCCAGGTCAGTTTCAACTACATAGTGAGACCCTGTCTCAAAAACAAAAAGGTCTACATTGGGAGAAGCTTTGGTAGTGAGAGCACACTACTTGCTGGTCACAAGTCTCCTCTTCTCTTGCCTTTGACATTGCTGCTTGATGCCTGTTTGGTATGGCATCCCACGCTTGTGTGGTGAGATGACTCCTTGTCCTTGATCTCAATGTCTCTGTCTCAGAGATGCCTTCCTTGCCTTGCTCATCTGGGCACAATCCAGGGCTTGCTTCTGCAGAATCTCAGCCCCTTGTACCGATACTTGTCACCTTGTGAACAGATGTTTACTGGTCTAACCTTGGACATCAGACTTGTTTGCACATGGTGTAGAGCCAGACATCTGGAGTAGTGAGTCAGTTAATGAACCCCCAGCTTGACCAAATGAGGGTCTTCCTACTTCATTGCCCTTCATTGCCCTTCCTACTGATTGCCCTTTCTGGATTTCCAGGAGAGGATGAGGAAAGCGATTCGTCCTCCAAATGTTCTCTGTATGCTGACTCAGATGGTGAAAATGGCAGCACATCGGACTCTGAGAGCAGTACCTCATCTTCCTCATCTTCTTCTTCGTCCTCCTCTTCATCCTCGGAGTCCTCCTCTGAAGAAGAGGAAGAAGAGGAGGAGCAGCCGACAGCCATTCCCTCAGCCTCACCATCACCCAGGGAAGTCCCAGAGCCCCTCCCGGCGCCCGTCGAGTCAGAGCCAGAGCAGGCAGTAGGCTCCCCCATCACATCCCTCCCCGAGCAGGAGAAGTCTCTGGCAAGGCCTACAGGTGGGTGGTGCAGGACAGGTGAATCAGTTTTTATGTGTGTGCCTCTGTATCTGAAGAGCAGTGGAACCTGCATTAATTAATTCTATACGGTGTGTGTGACTTTTTTGTTTTTGTTTGTTTGTTTTTTGTTTGTTTTTTTGAGACAGGGTCTCACTATGTAGTTGAGACTGACCTGAAACTCACTATGTAGCCCAGGCTGGTCTTGAACTCGAAGTGATCCTCCTGCCTCAGCCTCCCGAGTGCTGGGATTACAGGCGTGTGCCACCGCACCTGGCCTTTGTTTTTTTTTTTTTTGGTTTTTATTTTGAGAGCAGTAGAAAGCCCTCAGAGGAGTGACATGTTCAAATTTGTGCTTTGAAAAAATGCAAAGAAAGTCATTTTCTCTTGTCCCTTCCCTCCTTGGGGACATAATGGCTTGACACTCAAACTGTTGTACGATAGTGATTTGCAGAGCCAAACCATGGTGTTGGCTCCTACTAAAGTAAAACAGGATGGTCTCTTCCCATCTAAGTTCAGGAGAGAAATTTTCAATTTAACAAATTCCTCATTTTTCTTAAGCCATTCCTTCAGTGGGTTTATGTGCAGGCGGTTCAATGGTCATATACTAACATCTCAGAATGTAGTTCTGCCTTTGCTTTCTTTTGTGGATTTGTCTATACCATCGTACATACCACATGCGTGAACTTAGCCTGCTCGGGGGCTGTTTGTGCAGGCAGTCGATACTGAGGACTCAGCACAGCTCGTAGTAGGGTGTGTCCTGCAGACACGGTGCTCACCCTGTAAAGCTTACAGTCTGTGCAGAGACAGCCACTCGAGTCATACATACACGAGGAAATCTGTGGCTGCCAACTGGTGAGCGTCGTGAAGAAGGAGCACAGACTGGAGGGAAGGATGGTCAGGTACGAGCACCCCACAGCAGGAGACGCAGTGGGTTGAAAGACCTGGAAGAAAGTGGGTTGAGAACTAGGGGTGGGGTGGGGGCTAGAACTTGAGGGGTGGGTAAGGGCCAGGCCATGAAAAGTGCAGAGGCTGTGTAAGAATTTGGTCTTTATCTTGAGAGCAGGAGAAGGCCCTGGAGGAGCAACATGATTAGGTTATGACCTGAAGAGATGCAATGCAAAGAGAACTTGGAGAGGGGCCAGTGCAATGCAGAGAGACCGTTCAGAGGCTGTGCGTTATGGAAGGAAATAAGTCACTTCTTGAGATACACTTCAGGGAGCAGCCCATTTGGGACCCCCTCCTGTCTTTCAGGAGCTGTTCCTTTTTTCTTTTTGGTACCAGGGATCGAACTTGAGTCCTTGTGCTTGCGAGGCAGGCAGTGGAACCACTGAGCTAAATCCCTGGCCCTGTTCTTTCTTTATTTATTTATTTTTTTGAGACAGAGTCTCCAGTATGCAGTTCAGTAACTGCCCGGGCTGGCCTTGAACAGATGAAGTGATCCTCCTGACTCAGCCTCCCAAATGCTGGGATTATAGGCATGTGCTGCTCCCCACTTTCTGGAGCTATTCATTTTGTGTGTGTGGTACTGGGGATCGAACTCAGGACTTTGCGCTTGCCAGGCAGGCATAGCACCACTGAGCTACATCCCTGGCCCTTCAGGAGCATTTTTTTTTTTTTTTTTTTTTTTTTTT